GAAGCCGATTTAGACACACGTGTGTGTGTGTGTGTGTGTGTGTGCGTGTGAGAAAAAGCGTGTCTGTGAGAGTGTGTGTTGCGTGTGAGAGAGCGCGTGTGAGAGCGAGAGAGGGAGTGTGTGAGAGATGTGTACACACCACGTACGATGGTAGCGGAGTTTATATTTAAATTCCTCTCTGGTTGTTGTAAACATCCTCTGGGGGATTGTGGGGGGAGGGAGAGGGGAGAGTTGGGCTATATCCCCCTCCCCTCCGACAGGGTGATAAATCTCCCCGAGGCAGAGCTGACAGGAGTTCAGCGGGAGGTTCTCTACGCCTCGGGATCCTGAGAGATTCTCTCTTTTGTGTGTTTTTAGAAGTGCTGAGATTTACAGCTCGGAGAGCGTCTGCGTTGGCTGTTTGTTCCCCTTTCCCCTGTTTGTCCAAAGGACGGTGTCTCCGACAATGTGCCTCTCTCTCTGTGTCTCTCACCCCAACGCGGTCAGCCTGGACTGTGAGCTCAGAGTCCCTGCCATGACCTGTAGCTCAGTGGTTAGAGCACTCGCCCTGCAAGCGAGAGGGACCTGGGTTTGATTCCCGGACGGGGAGAAATGTTGGGCAAAGCCCCTCACTCCACACCCCTCTGTTTACCAGCAGTAAGTATGAAGCTGGTTAATAGTCGATTGGCGATCGCTTTCCGGGAGGAATAATCCCCTCAACAAAATTTTTTTGTCACCCAACGTTTGTGGGACAACGCTGTGTGCAATTGGCTGCCGCATTTCGCCCACAAAATACATCCTGTGAAGCGCTTCGATACGTCTCGAAGACATGATAAGACGCTATGTCAAATGCAAGGATTATTCTTATTATTGTAACCTCCTGACTCTGAGGCTGACACTAAGCCGGGGGTTGAACGACTGATGTCATGTCTGGGCGGGTTGTCTCGTCGGTCAGGACGCAGAGCGAGAGAAACTCTTCTCTTTTCCCAACAGTGTCACGGGATCTTTAAAGTCTGTTTCAATCTGTTTCGATCAGTATCATGGCTCTAAACCCTCTCCCCCCCCCTCCCGCACCCCATCCACAGCCCCCGAACCTCAAGAATACCAGGCAGCTCCACACTCACTTCACTGAAAAGAGTGTAGTGACTGTGTGAATATGAGCCCTTGCCATCAGGCTGGGCTGCCCGGTTCTCACGATGTCTGACTGTGACCCAGACCAGATCATCAGAAATAAATATTTACCTCCATCTCTCTCTCCCCTCAATAAACAGCTCTGTTTAGCCTCACTCACATGTCACAGTCTGGGGTGAGAGACACAGTAAAGCTCCTCTATACTGTGTGTCCACACTCCCAGGTCAGGGTTGGTGTGAGTGGGTGGGTGGGTCCGTTAATCGGAGCATGTGTGACAGTCGGAGTCAGCGCCTGGCAGGGCAGAGGGTCCCGCTGAGCCCCTGGGCTGGTGAGGAGACTCGTGCATGTTGTGTTCGTGTCTGTGTGTTTCCTGGCTAATCGCAGATGGCATGAAACTGGCAGAGAAATGAGGGCATCTGGTGCCAGCGCGGAGGGCTGGTGACAAGCTGTGGTTGGGGGGGTGGCTCCTGTCCACAGTCACTTCCCATAACCATCAGAAGCCGCCTTCACTGTCAGAGCAGAACAGGCTGTGTGTCTGCAGGTCTCCCTCTCTCACATCCCGTTTGCCTACTTCTCTGTCGCTGCGTCGGGCATATTTGCACACAGTCCAGTCAAACTTGTGTGTTTGTCTCTCTCTCTCTCGCGTCTGATGTAAACTGCCTCTTTCTCTGTCTTTCTGTTTGTGTGTCTCTCTCCATCTCTTTATTTCTCTGTCATTCTCTGTCTCACCGTCTCTCTCTCTCGCGCACGTTTAGTGTAATCTCTCATCTGACTCTCGTAACTGTGTAATCTCTCTTTTGCTTCCACCTCACCCCCTCCCTCGCCTCCTTCAAGGCCTCCTTCCACTTCGTCTGCGCCCTTGTCCACTCTCCTAGCGCCAGCCTCCACCCCCTCCTGATCCAAACCCCCAGCTCGGGCCCAAATCCCTGACTGTCCAGCGCCTCGGGGACGTCCTCCCAACGTGAAAGATGCCGTGTAAATGTCATGTGTAGTTGTTGTGTAACCTTTCTCTCTCTCTCTCTCTCTCCCTCTCTCCTGTAGGGAGCTCGGGTTTGGCTGCAGGATGGAGACCAGTTGCATCCCAGCACCGTGGGTTTCTGTGCCGATGGCTCTGTGCTCTTGACCACTGACTATGGCGAGGTGAGCTGTGTGTGTTTGTGGTGGTGGGAGTGGGTATTAAAGGCCTGATGGCTGCCTGTCTCCCGGTGTCCTGGCCGACAACCTCCCCCCGATAACATCATTCCCTTCACCACTGTTTGTGGGACGTCGCCTTTGCGCAAATTTCCTGCTGCGTTCGCCTACAAGGACACACAGTTACTACACTTTACAGTGCATCCTGTGAAGCGGCGGAATAAGGCGCTACATCAAATGCAACGGTTATTATCGTTGTTGGTTTAGAGCACTCGCCTCACAAGAGAGAGGACCCGGGTTTGATTCCCGGGAAAGGAGAAACCTTGGGCACGTTTCCTTACTCCACACTCCCACTCCTCACCCCCAGCCCAGCACAAACTCCCATCAGATTCCTTCCCAGGATCCCGGCCGCGCTCTACTCTCAGCGCTCTCGCCGCCACTCACTGCACTGTGGTTTCCCAGCAGTTTTCCCGCAACCAAGCAATGTCCCAGGGTTGGGCACGGGATTGAGTGACGTTCCCAACGTTATTCCCTGCGAGTTGACTGACTGACCAACCGAGCGAGTAACTGTGTGACTGACTGACTGAGTGACTGAGCGAGTGACTGAGCGAGTGAGCGAGTGACTGTGTGACTGACTGACTGAGCGACTGACTGAGCAAGTGAGCGAGTGACTGTGTGACTGACTGACTGAGCGAGTGACTTTGTGACTGACTGAGTGACGTACCTCTTGAGGTGGAAGCGGAGGTAGCGGAGGATGGCACGGCTGGGGAGGAAGGTGCAGCTCATGCAGGTGAGGAGCTGCCAGTGGTGCAGGCTGC